CTGAAGAAAATTTAACAAAAATGACAGATACAAAACAAATTTTTAGAGAAGAAAGTAAAGAAGAAATTTATAAAAACTCTTTTAAGCATAAACCACCAAACGAACCTCAAAAAATGAGTCATTTTACAACAAGGCATCTGAGTTTGGCAAGAATGAGCCTTTAAGAAGGACTAGTGTGTTTTATCCTATTAGATCACAGTCATATTACAAGGTAAGAGAACAAAACATTCTTCCTAGACAATCTCCTTACCCAGTTAGAAACCCTACTTTTCATAGCAAAATCATCTCAAATTATTCAGGTTATTCTAACCAAACAAACAGAAATTACGTAGTTAATCCAAGAGTTCAACTTAATCCTCTTAACAGGGCACCTAGCAATAATTACAATGTTTCTGAACAGTACATTATGAATAACAATATGAATAATATTTATAGTACTATTAACCCAATAGTAAATCCAACTATTAATCATTCTTCTAATTATAATCCTACAAATAATTTTAATGTAAATTCTAATTATAACCCTGTAAATACTTTTAATCAGAATAACAGCTATAACCCTAACATTTATTCCAATATGAATCCTATTACTTTAAATCCTAATATGAATCAAAATATTAATTCAAATTTTAATCAAAATATAAATGCTAATATGAATGTTATGCCTAATGTTACTAACAATAGCCTTACTAGTAATATTAATAATCATTACTACAATACAAATATGACACCTAATCCTAATATGAATATTAATGGAATGAATCCTTCAGCTAATAATCTTGTAAACAATAATAATATGATGCCTGTTAATAATATTATGGGTAATAATAATCTTGTTAATAATACTATTATGAATAATGAATCATATAATTCTTCTTATCCTAATTTGTATGACCAATCTATGGGTTATTTTAATAATTATTAATCAACCAAAAACACCTTATATTAATATGAATTATGATTATCAAATGAACCAACCAATAAATAATACACAATTTCATCCACCAAATTATCAACCTATGAATAATTTTAATCCTTACATGAATTATCAAATTAATAATTACAGTGTTAAAAGAAGAAGTACACCAAATTTTAAAAACAATGAACAAATAAATTATTATAATAATTTACAAGGGTACCAAGAAAAAGAACCACTTTTCGTAAGGAATGATCAATATGTTGATTTTAATGAAGAACACAGAAAAATATTTAACCAACAAAGAAATATTAATTACAATTATTTAAATGAAATGCAAATGAGAAATGAACAACAGTTTAGAAATTTAAATGACAATAAAGTATATTTTACCAATGAATCACAAATGAGGAATGTTAATGAAAGACAAATGAAAAACATAAATGAAAGACATTTTAAAAATGAAGTAAAAATAATCAGTGAAGATAATTTTATCCCATTAACCAGTCCTAGCAATTATAAACCTGGAAAAATTAGTGATTTTCCAATGCAAGAACACAAAATAATAAATGAAAAAAGTAAGAAAAATAAAACACCAAAGAATTTTTATGATCCTAAAAATGATTATGTTTCAACAAATAAAATTTTTAATGAACAAAGTGACAATGTAAATGAATTAAACTTTAATGAAGAGATGGGTAAACCAATTACTTATCCAATAGGATCCAGCTATCCTACAGAAAATACTAAAAGTAAAACACAGAGACAAGAAACAAACACATTTTCTGGTAAAATTTATTACAATGAAGAAGAAAAATTTTATAAAGAAAAAATAAAAAAAGAAAAAAAAATTATAAAAAAATTTATTCAACTGAATTTAAAAGAAAAGATTACAGTGAAGATAAAAAAACTAAGAGAAGAGAAATAAAAGTAGAAGAAATAAATACATTGGAAGAAATTAAAAGAGAAAATGAATTAAAAAAATTATCACAACAAAAGAATGATGCCTTAAAAAGTGAAGAAGATAATTTTGATCCAATGCCAGATATTTTTTAAAGGTGTAAATAAAATATTATTAAGTAAATGTATAAAAAAATTAATTTATTATTTTTAACTTCCCGAAGGAGAAGTTTATGTTTTCATCAAAAGATCCGGTTTGCTAATTTTATGTTTTCTCGACGTTTCAAGCCATTCTGAATCGAATGAGACCAACATTTGGAAAAAGTATATGTGTGTGTGTGTGTGTGTGTGTGTGTGTGTGTGTGCGTGTGCACCAACAGATTTTTTGCCGTAAATCGCCGTTTTCTCAAAAACGGCTGGACCGATTTCAAAAATTTAAAAGCCATTCGATGTATCTCGATGAGGACTATTGTCTGTCAGTTTTGTGCGACGATCGGCCAAACCGTTTCTTCGTAAATAGCAGAGAAGTGAAAACTCTTTCGTCCACGTTTTAGCCCGCAGTTATGAATCGATTTTGAAAATTCAAAAACCGTTCGAAAGATATTGGTTGGGAATCGTGCTGATTAGTTTTTGGTAGAGATCGGCCGGGCCGTTTTCTTGTAATAAAGTTTTTAAAAAAAAAATTTCGACGATTTTTATGATTATTTTTTTGACGATAGATACCATAGTCTTCTAGATCATACTAAAATATTACGGCCCTACGACAACTGGTTCAGCTTTAAAAATTCGTCAAAGTTTGCAAAAATCAGTATGGTCTTTTTGGCATTTGTCAAAATTAGACTTTTGATCGACGTTTTCTCAAAAACGCCTGAACCGATTTTAGAAATTTAAAAGCCATTTGATGTATTTCGGTGAGGACTATCGTTTGTCAGTTTTGTGCAACGATCTGCCAAGCCGTTTCTTTGTAATTTGAAAAAAAGTGTTGAACTTTTCGTCCACATTTAAGCTCATCCTACCGAACCGATTTTAAAAAATCAAAAACTGTTCGAAAGATATCATTAGGGAATGATGCTGATTAATTTTAGGTGAAAATCTACCGAGCCGTTTTCTTGTAATTAAATGTTGAAAAAAAAGTGTTAAATTTTCGTCCACATTTAAGCTTATCCTACCGAACCGATTTTGAAAAATCAAAAACTGTTCGAAAGATATCATTTGGGAATGATGCTGAAAGGCTGAAAATTTAAGCCTTTTTTCATGGAACTTTTTTTGGCGATATACATCATGGTCTTATAGAATTTACTGTAATATTACGGCCTTACAACAAGTAGTTTAATTTTAAAAATTCGTCAAACTTTGCTAAAATTATTATCGTTTTTTTTTAAAGTAGGATTGATGAAGTATATTATTTACACATTTTTTGATCAAGTCGATTATTTAGTTACACATATCGGGAAGTTCATGTAATTTGCCTCAAGGCTAAATACCAAACCAACTAGTTCTTTATACATTTCATTAAGAAATACTTTGTCAAATTCATTTCCTTGTATTCTTTGTAATGTTCTATCTTTTTATCAATCTCTTTTAATAAATTAATATGATTAATATATTCATTAGTAGGATCACTTATTAATTTAGCTTTAGCTAATTGGATTGCATAAAGAACAAATTGTTTTTCTGATTCATAAGTCAATGCTTTATGGATTGTGGTTGGTTTTTTTGATAAGAAAATTTCTAAGTTTTTTAAAGATTGTTGGATTTCTTCTGGTAACATTTATGATGTTTATATTTTAATAAATTTAATTATTTTTTTTATATTATTTTCTTATTTTTTAATAAATTTAATTATTTTTTTATAAATTTAATAATTTTTTTATATGATTTAATTATATTTTAATAATTTTTTTATATGATTTAATTATATTTTAATAAATTTTCTTATATTTTAATTTATAAAACTAATCAATTTTATTTTTCTAATGTCATTTGCTTCTTCGTTAAAATCACTTCAAACAAAAAAAGAATTAACATTTTTACTGGTAGGTCTGGACAATTCAGGTAAAACAACTATAATAACCAACTTATGCAACATAAAAGAAAAGATACTTCCTACCTTTGGTTATAAAAAATATTACCTAACAAAAAATAATTTAAACATAAAAATATTAGACATAGGTGGTCAAGAATGTTTTAGTGAGTATTGGTTTAATTATTATGGTTTAGTAAATGGTAATATTTTTGTGATAGATATGTCAGATAAAAGAGATTTTCTTAAGTATTTTGAAGGATATAAAGAAAGTATTCCTTTATTGATTTATGGAAATAAGAAGGATTTAGGGGATATTGATTTAAAAGTGGATGGTAATGTTAAATTTTTAAAGGTGTGTGCTATAAAGAATGAAGGATTAGAAGAAGGAATCGATTGGTTAATTAATCAATGCATTAATTTATAAATGTTTTTTAAAAATAAAAGAAATTATATAAAAATAAATAATTAATAAATTTATTAATAAATATAAAATAAATAATTAATAAACTTATTAATAAATTTAAAATAATATTTTAATAAAATATAAATAAACAAATATAAATTAATATTTTTAAAAATGAATATTGATAAAAAATATTTTTTTAATCTAATAACTTTATTATTTATTTAAAAAATTATTTAATATAATTTAATTTTTTTTTATTAAAGAACGTACGTTAACTTAAGAATAAAAAATCTAAAAAAGAAAGTTTTAGCTTGTGAAAGGCTCGCAGTATTTTTATTTTATAAAAAAAAGATTATAAGTTAATTTTTTACTTATAAAGCTGTAATTATTTCATATTTCTTTTCAAACTTAGACTTAATCTCTTCAAAATAACAATCCAAAGTATTAAGAAAAGCATTAGCACAGCATCAAAGGTATATCCTACCTTAACTTCATTTTTATTGATCTCAAAAACATCTTCAATCACACTTCTTAATTGATCTGTCAAATAAAAAATGGGAGGAAAAGAATCAAGGCAAGTTGCATGGATCTCAATAGAATCTTTCATGGTTAAAATGGCTAATTCTTTAAAATTCTTGGTATGAATGTAATGAATCATATCTTTAATTTTCTTGTTTATGTTTTCTAATCTCTTTTTGAATAATTCACTTGCATTAACTGTCCTTAGCATTCCTTCAGTGCTAGGCACTTTTTTAGAATTTTTGTTTGAAACAAGTAAGATTACTTCTACTTAGTTCTTTCCATTCGCTTAGTTTTTCTGCAAAGTATTCCTTTCCTTCTTTCTTTAAATGTACTAATCCATCAAAAATTGATCTACTTGCACTGCCTGAGCCTTTCCTTGCCAAAATGGAAAGTGTTTTAGAGTCTAAATTAAAATTAAAGAAAGAATCTAATGCTTTTACCAGAGCAGAGTAACCAGAGGCAGAACTTGCTAAGCCACAAGAATGAGGGAATGAATTTTTAGACACAATTTTTAATTTACCTTTGTAATTAAACACTTCTTTGAAATAATTTATCAGATTTTGCATTCTAACAGGTATTTCTTTTATTTCATTGTCTAAAATAAACAAATCTTCACTGCTTTCTTCAATGGTTGTTGTTGTGATAAGATTTTTTAAGGTTAAAGAGATACTTTCGTTGGTTGGTAAGTTTTCTTTTATGTCCGATTTACCCCAATATTTTATTAAAGCAATGTTTGGATGGGAAATAACTGTTTTAACTCCAAAATTGTGAAAGAATGCAAGTATAATGAGCTGGGAGTTAATCTATAAATAATATTTAAAAAATCAAAAAAAAAAAATCGATTTATTCAATATTTTATCTTATTAGAATCTTTCTATCTACAAGTTTTTGGATAATTTGATATTTTTTGATAATTTTGACGTACCATATGCATCTTCATCACTCAAATTCCAATCATAACCAGAGTCTAAAGCACCAAATGCATATACTGAACCACTACCCACAGAAAAAACTTTTCCCGGAGTTCTTGTACCTTCTGAATCTACATAGTACAATGCAGGTCCTCGCTTATCATAGCCCGCTAACATCATACCCATAGATAAGCCCATTCCTTTATAATTATAAACCATATTAGACATAAGTTTGCTTGCAGCTGCTACAGATATTCTTTCTCTATTGCGCAGTTCATGCAAACGGCATTGTTTTGCTAGCACACGATCCCAATAAACACAATCAGCTGCTCCACCAGCCAAAGTTCTTAAGAAGAGAAAATATAAGATTTACCTTTCAAAGTTGCTTAGGAAGTCACATTTTAATTCATTTAACTATATTTGGAAACAATTTCTTGAAGAAAACCACAATAGTATATTTATTAACTGATAAGCTGATGAATTGTAACTGTTTCTCAATGAATGATGCCTCAAAAAATATTTTGACTCATGTAAGTAGACATTTTAAGCTACATATAAGAATTATCAGTAACGCCGACTGTAACTGGTAATGATGAATCAGCATTATTACCTATGATATAACAAACATCAGAAATTCAAGATCAAATTAAAAAGACACAAAATATGTACCTAACAAAAAATCATTAATTTCAACAATTTTCTTCATGCATTGTGACCCAATAAATTGTCCACCAGTTGCTCGGGAATCAACTGCTAGTATCACACCACCTCGGAATTGAAATCCAAGAGTTGTAGTACCATGATCAAAATGCATACGCAACTTATTTCCTTGTTCATCTTTCATATTAGCAAGTTCCACCGCAGGCTAAAAAATAAATGATATACATATTTTAATATTTTAAATATAAATAAAGATTGACATCAACAAAATTCACATTTGCGAATGGAGGAGCACATAATTCCATATTATTTTGGAAAGTACGTGTTAATTTTGCATATTCATCAGTATCATCATTTTGAGAATAATAATTCTCCAAACCACACAATTGAGCCAAAGCCATTATTATAAAATTAATTACAAAACGAAGTAATCTAAACTGCCAGATAACCAACAAGAAACAAATGACAAAGACAAACAAAATTAGAAGCTTCACAGTCACAGTCATACACACTAACGCGAAGTTAGCGTCGAAAATATCGATAAGTTTTTTAATAGTCTGCGGAACAACGCTGCGGTTATGCCGTTATGCCGCTTTTTTTAAATCTTCAAAAGTTTCAAACATTAAATTTATTGGGCTACAGTTTTTCTATCACGTTTGACCAATCCTTGCCATCAGTAAGCATTATATCAAATTATTGATAGATAATTAGATTTACTCCAATTAAAATTTAGTTACTATTTACTAACAGTGCTCCGAATATTTTTAATTTTTTTTTACACATTCTTTGATAATCGTATGCGTTCCTTATTATAAAAATTAATTATTTATATATTACCAATAAAATGTTAGGCTTATGATATAACAGTTGTACGACAATCAAGATTATTTATCGAATTTAAAATTATTAGAGTATTAATTGCATTGGAATTTTCATTTAAGTTTTAGAATTTATGATATATCTTGCTTTACTATTATATTAAACAAACACTAATCCATTCACCTAATTTTAAAAAATTACTTGTAAAAAGTTTATATAAAAAATCTGTAAAATATTAGTGTATAAAAAACAAATATTTTATATACCTACACTAATTTATATTTTGCCATAAATTTAAAAGCTATTGTACATGGCCAGATTTTTCTAACAAATGTTAAACTCTGTATAATTTAAATGAATAAGTCTTCACATGAATTTATATTATACCTGCACTGGATGCATTTATAATGAAATCGAATAATATGGTTATCTATTTTTAAAATCAGCGCGATAATTAAATTATATTCATTATTCGAACATGGTTATGAACATATTTGCAGTAATTAGGATAATAAATATACAATTTAAAAAATCAATTTAATGCAATAATATTAAATTTAGATCAGTTATAATTTTGCAACATTGATTTCGATATATGATTATTTATTTTTTAAATAATATACACTGAACTTAAAATTGAAATGAACTGAAATCGCACATAAGGTTGCTAAATAATTTAATAGGGTTATCATCCGCATGTTAATTATTATTTTTTATTAATCTTTTAGATTATTTATCGTTTCTCAATTTAAATTTTATGCGTGACCGATTTTGACTTCAATTGTGCAACCTAATTAAGTGAAAAACTAAACATTGAATTTGATCCAAAGAAAAGGGTTACCTATTGTTTTGATTTGATTGAGAAGCGGAGATCAAGTCCGGCACGTGTTCGAAGTTTTCTTGTTCAACGAAAGGGTTGTGATTTAGGGCAATTGCCTAATTAATTGTGTTTATATGCTTGTGTTTTGTGTGTACATATTTCAGGAATGACGGATTTCATTAAATGCATTATTTGTGATAAACGTGCGAATAGCATGTCTGAAATGCATTTGCATCAAACGACATGTCATTCGATTGATCAGTTTTCTTTAATAATATTATCGCGCAGAGAATCCAAGATTGAAAATGGTGAGTTAATTGTGTGATACATTAATCCACCAATAAATAATTAATTAAATGTATAATATTATATGATTGTAACCTAATTTCATTAGTTGTAGAAAATTTGACGAAAAATGACAAAAACAGCAATAATTCTAACAGAAAAAAATCTAAAACTAGTGCTTCTGTTTTGCAACAAGAATTAAAAGATTGTGTCACAGCTATTGATAAAGTATTGCAATCTTCAAATAAAACTGAAGGCAGACGTAAGAAGAATCCAAGACCTCGAAAGAATGATAAAACTGAAACAGCTAAAAAACAATGTACAATAACTACTTAATGGTATTTTATTTATTTAGTTATAACTTTATTTGTGGTATATGAAAATTATGACTGATTTACATGATGCTTAAAATAGGTGCTATTATAGAATATATATATATATATATATATATATATATATATATATATATATATATATCAAGTAACGGCAACCAAACTAGAGTTAGAGGATCAAATCTTTTTATATTTATATTTGTGCAATTGTAATCAGATGCTCTTATAGCACTAAAGAAATCATCAAATAGATCTTGGTGAATAGTTTATGCACACATACCCAGGAAACCTGACTAAAATATATATATATAGTATATGTAAATTGGTCATTATTATTTATAGGCTTAGTGTGTAAATGATTTAGTATGCAAATTAATTTTAATCAATAATTAAATCTAAAATTCATAGTGCAAAATATTGGACCTGAAAAAGAAGTCGATGAAACCAAGCCAATTCAGCAACCAGAATTATCAACAACAATCAACACTCCTTTGAAACGATCACTAGGCAAAAAGCCTACTAAGCCTGCAAATGTAAAAATAAGTAAAGCCAGTGAAACAACTAAAACACCGACTGATGTCATTCGAAAAAGAACAACTGTATCATCAACTAATAGGAGAGAAAAAGTTAGTCGATGCTCCCAGAACAAGAAATGTGCAATATTGGAATCTGTATTGGTCGCAAAAGGTTCAGTCAGAAAGAGAAACCAAATTAATGTAATAAATCCCACCAAAATGAAACTTATTTTTCCACAAGCCAATAATCAAGAAGTAAAAGCAAAAGAAGATGTTACCTGGAATAAGGCTTACCAGAATTATGTTGATGGATTGCAAGTTGTAAAAGAAATTCCAGTTGTTCAAGCTGATTATACATCAAATAATGCACTCAATTTTCAAAATATCCTTACAAAACAAAATCAGAATCAAACACCATTTACTGATAAAAATGAAGGATACGAGTTTAATAATAACAATCATCAACAATCATCAGAAGGCCGTATTCAAAATCCTTACCATTTGCAAGATAACCTTGGCAATGATTTATTAAATAAGACATTTATTGAATCTAATGATTTAATTAGCGATTTGAGGAACATTGCACCAGAGCACCTAGTAAATAATTTGAATGATGATTCAAATCTCGATAGCATTTCAATGGGCTTAACAAATGATGTAAAAGACTTCATTGTTGAATTTTTTGAGGAAGAGCAAAATGCTGAAACGAGAAATCCTTATTGGGAAGATAATATGAATAAGTACTTTCCATCTGAAACAAAAAGTAGTTCAGAAATTGAACAATTTAATGATAATGCTGACAAATATATGAATGGCAATGATGAGATGCCTTTGAATTTAGTTATAAGAGAAATTGATGTACCGATCAATCAAGAAAGCTTTAATAATATTTTTATCATACAACTTACACATCTAATTCAGCAAATAAAGCGATATGTAAATCTACTTGGAGTGAGGAATATATGAATAGCCAAAATGCAAATTTTTGGGCATCATACAATGTTAACAAGCGACCATATGAATTTTCGTATGCATACAAATATAAACTTTTTTGTCAAATATGTGGTGATCAATTTCTGAATAATATTGCATTACAAGCACATTACATTTCTTGCAGTGGAATAAATGACAACCAGAGGGTAAAGACATCGGAAGAAAAAATGTTGGAAGAACACTTCCAAAAAACATTCATTGGAGGTGAGCCTGGCATGATGGTTTATAATTCTGAAATTCAAGAAAATAATATGAATTTGACTCATTTTAAATATGAATGCCATGCATGTCAGACAGGATTTAAAAACGGCACTAATTATTGCAAACATATGTTGGATCATAAAAAAATTTTTGCACAAGGAAAATATGTAATATGTACTGAATGTGGTTTGTATATCGAAAATTTTAACATATTGAAAAATCATTTTCATAAATATTCTTAACAATTATCATTATGTTATTTTTGTTTGTTATTAAATGAGAAAAGTTTTTGAGAAAACTTACAGCTCTGATTGTACATGTTATCTCATTCAGAGGTACTTCCTCTATTATTTAATTTAGTGTTTAAGAAACATTCAGTTTTTATGTATTGAGTTATATCTTCACTGATATTGTGGAACTGATTATTTGTTGTTTTTTGTCAAAGAGTATATTGTATAATGTATATAATTATGTGACTTCATTCTATGAAATTATTATACTGTTTGAAATAGAGATTTAATTTGTTGAATAATGAAAATGAAATATATGTTTTTTACACTATATTCTGTTATGTTTATGGGTATGCAGAAAGATAAAATTATTAAAGTTGATATATATATATATATATATATATCTACTTTTTATTAGTTTAATTGCACCTCATCCGAACATTGCTGTTCTGATACTAGCAAGAGGAGGTTCAAAAGGAATACCTTTGAAAAATTTGCAAAAAATTAATAATGTTACACTCATTAGACGAAGCGTCCAAAAAATTACACCATTGCTTGAAGAGGGAAAAATCCAAGCAATATGGGTTTCAACTGACCATCATTGATTGCTAAAGAAGCCAATGAAGGTTTGCTAATTAATTATTCTTAAATTGTGAAATTGAACAAAGATTTAAAAGATTAGCTAAATAAAATAATTATCTAAATCCCTATGCCAATAATTATTCTTATAACTGCATAAATTATATTAGATTAATATTGTGTTCCAAACATACTTAATTGCAGCAGGTGCACAAGTGTTTTGGAGAGATCCAGAATATGCAACTGATGCATCTACTTCTATATCTGCAATACAAGAATTTATAAAGCATCATTTAAATGTAGATTATTTAATGTTAGTGCAATGTACTACACCCTTTCTCAAGACAGATTATATTTTAGAAGCAATATCTCAATTAACTTTTTCAAGTACCAATACCCAGTGTGTTTTCAGTGTTACTAGGTACAGAGTTAAAGTATAAATGTATTTTTATAAACATATTAATTTATTTTCAATAGCAACGGGTTATTGCTATCTGTTCTCACTGCAATTAAAATGCATAATAATTAAATAAATAATTTTCAAAATGAGTAAGAATTTTCCATCAATATGAAAATAATATGAATATTTGTATTAGGTCTTTTAAATTGCGATGGAAGGAGGAAGGT